GAGTTCAGACGTTCGATGGCGCCGAATTTTCCATGAAAGTATCCATGTGCTAAGGGAAACCTGAGATACATAACACCAAGTAGCTCAATACCAGAGATTTACACCCAGTAAAACCTTAACAAGCTGCTTAATAAAGCGAACCATCAATGGCTTGCTGCGGCTAAGGTCGGTTTCTTCAAACTACATGTAGGAAAGTATATTGGGTCTATAGTGTTTTTATTCAATTTATTTTGCGATTTTTTCATAGTTAATTTATTTATTACCATTCTAGAACGCCTGTATCTTGTTGCACACTTTTTTACAAATTTGTAAACAGTCAGCCCATTTGTGTACAGAATACCGACTAACAGTTTTAAAATATAATTAGCGGACTTAGCTCAGTTGGGAGAGCGCCAGACTGAAGAAACAATCAGTCTACAGCAAATCTGGAGGTCCTGTGTTCGATCCACAGAGTTCGCATTCTTTTTTTGAAACTTTCTAATCTTTTTTTTTTTTCAGCGTTTGCAGGTTTATATTTACAAAACCCCCTCTTAAAAAAAAAAACAGTTGCAGGAAATCCTACCTAGATAAATATTAGAAATGCACTGGTCATGGGTCATAATTGCGGCGCTGACACTGTACTACTACTACTGGTACAGCACTACGGCAAAATCCCGGCGGAAGGGAAAGGCAACGAGGCCTGTGTCGGAACCCGAGGTTGCCGCGACCCGCGACACGCCACCACAAGCACCGCAAGCACCACAGCACCAGCCTGAGCGGGTCATTGGTCCCGAGGACTTTGAAGACCCTGGGTTTGATCCTGAGCTCGAGCAGCTCAACCACAACAACAACAACGCGGGAGCGGGCCCGGGTGCCGCCGGACCCAGCCGCAGCAGCGAGGGCGGCGCCGTCGTGGGCACCAAAAAGGCCCGATCGCTAGAGCGCAAGGACCAGCGGCGCGCGTACTTCGAGCACCTCCGGATGCAGGCGCAGTACGACCGCGAGGAGCAGGAGGAGTACGAGCGGCAGTACGCGGATCTGCGGGCCGAGGAGCAGGCGGCGCAGGCGGCCGCGAACCGCGCGGCAATTGCGGAGCGCGAGGCCGACCTGGTCGACGCCCGGAACCGCGAGCGCGAGGCGGCCGAAGTGGCCCGTAGTGTTGAGGCTGCGCTCGTGGCCGATGCTGCGGCCGACCCACGCGGGGTGCGGCGTCTGGAAACCGAGACCGAGCGCGCGGCGGCCGCGCGCGTGGTAGAGCGCGGGAGCAGTACCAGCAACAATGCGCGCCAGTTTCTCGCCGGTGAGGATGGTGACTGGCTGGTGCGGGTTTCTAGCGGTGATGTGGACCGGCTGGCGCAGGAGGTGCAGGCCCGCGGCAAGGTCTCGTTTTCGGAGCTGGCACAGTATCTCACAGAGTTGAAGCGTGGATAGGAAGGTGGGGTTTTTTATTCCTCTCTCGTGGTTACCGAGCTACTTCTTATATAGCTTTTGCTGGCTACAGCTCGTGGCTTTGTCAATATATTTATTTTTTTCAACAATACACAGTTTACATTTCACAATGGCAATGCGACCATTTGCGCACACGCTTTACAACTTGCCCTTGAATGCAGGCGAAATCATGGGCTCGTAGACCCGGTCTGAAAGGACATCATTGGGGACGGCATGGTGGCTGTCAAGACTTCTGATATCAAGCAGGGACTCGTTGAGATCAGCAATGGTGTTGGCGCCCAGGAGTCGCATGTTCATTTCAAACTCGTCCTTAAGCAGCTGGAAGGCACGGCTGACACCGGCCTCACCGTAGGAGGACATGGCGTAGAGGAAGGGGCGGCCAATGCCGACGCCGGTGGCGCCGAGGCAGACGGCCTTGATAATGTCGGTAGCACGGCGAATACCACCGTCAATGTAGATCTCGAGCTTGCCCTGGAGACCCTTGGCCTTGAGTGCCTGCTGCACCTCGACAAGAACCTCAATGGATGAGCGGGCAAACTCAAGCTGACGACCACCGTGGTTCGAGATGACGATACCCTGGACACCGTGCTCGGCCGCGAGAACAGCGTCCTCACCGCGCTGGACACCCTTGAGAATGATGGGCATCTTGGTCACGGACTGGAACCAGGGGATATCCTTCCACGACAAGCTGGGGTCAATGAAACTCGAGATGGCGCGCGCAGCACCCTGTGAACGGTCAATTTCGCCACTCTCGTCCTGGACGTCGGCGGCGTCCTCCTCGTACTTGGAACGCATATCCTTCTCACGGCGGCCCAGTTGGGGCGCATCGACCGTGATGAAAAGACCCTTGATGCCGCGCTTTTCGGCATGTTCGATAATGGACTTGGTAATGCTCTTGTCAGAGTTGACGTACAGCTGGAGCCACTGGGTCTGCTTGCCGTCGGCGGCGTTGACAATCTCGTCAAAGGAGCAAGACGCCAGGGTGGGGATCATCTGGATGATATCATGCTTGGCAGCAGCGCGGGTCAGCACAGTCTCACCCTCCGGGTGACCAAGTTTGCCAAGCGCGGTGGCAGTGACGTAGAAAGGCATTGCGGTCTTGGTACCGAGCATGGTGGTAGAAAAGTCGACGTTCTTGACGTCAACCAGAATGCGGGGCTTGAACCAGATGCGGTGGAACGCGCGATGGTTCTCGCGGAGCGAGATCTCGTCGTCGGCGCCGGAGGAGTAGTAGGCCCAGCCGGTCTTGCTCATGACCTTGCTGGCAATGTGCTCAAAGTCAAGCAGGTTGTACATTTGTGAAAGCGGGGGCTTGTTGGCCTCAAACTGCTGGCGGCGGATCTCGTCCTCGTCTTCCTCCTCCTCATCATCGTCGTCATCGGCAGGTGGGGGTGGGGGTGGGGGTAGGCTTTTAGCCTTTTTCTGCTCGGCGGGTTGCTTCTTTTTGGGTGCGTTGGTCTTTGCACTGGCGGGGGCGGCCTCAAGGATGCCAATGTGTTTGTCCTTGGGGAGGTACTTGTCGAGGGTGTCAGGAGGGTGGATGGGCTCAAAGCGCTTGGTTGCGTCCTTGCCAGCGAACTTCAAAATGACCTTTTGGCCACCGGGGTGCGAGGGCAGGAATTCTGTGACGTCGTAGACCTTGCCATGGACAATTACCCAGCAGTCGTCCTTGTTGTTGTGCTTCTTGACTTCGGCAGCGTTGACCATCGTGGAGTCTGATTAATATAAAATTTGTGGGGGAGACGGTTTCTTGCTTGTCGGCACCAATCAAAACGGAGATAAAAGAGATGACGAGTGTCAAAGTTGCTGAGCGAGAAAAAAATAAAAAGGAAGAAGAGACCCAGGTGCGTTTATTTGGTATTTAAAGAAGACGCGGTTACGAGGGTCGAGGTCGATGATAAAAAAGTTGAAAAATGAGTTGTTTTCGAGCAAAAGAACCGGCTGTTTTGCATGGACTCGTTCCGGTCGTTTGAAGCATCAAGGTGGGCATTTCTGTTTAATTTTTCCATTGACAATATCATTGATAGCAGGAAATATACGATAAGTCTGGTAAAAACACCCACAAAAACCACTGCTTTTGCTGCTGCAGTTTCACTTTTTATGACCAATGTTACCCCACATACGCATAAATGGGCAAATAATACCACTCTTTGGCCGGATAATTTGTCAATGCCGACGGTAATCTGCCTACTCGGGTCCCGAATTTCGCACCAGAAAGGACCATACAGGGGCCACTGTAACCACCTTATTTGCCCACGGAAATGCCCAGCTATATTGTCTACACGATACTTGTGATCCAAAATCTGGGGTCGTCAAAGAAGGTATGGTATCCCTATAGTCAACGTTTAGCACCCCTATGGTCAACAGTTAGCACTTTGCGTAACGCACTATTTGACTGCTTTTGGTTATCATTTTCCCTGATTTCACGGCTGATGTTTTCTTCCCCTCCTCGGCTCAAGAATTTTTTTTTTTTTTTTCTGTTAGACAAAGATACCTGCAAGCCCTTCTCGCTTCATGTCGCTATCGGGGCACCTAGGCCTGCTTTAAATAAATTGCTATATTTCCGCTGCTTTTTAAGACATGCTCAAGGATTTAACCCTGCAGGGCCGAGTCTTTGATTCTTTTAGACAATGGTAACCGATCCCCCGCCCCCACTCAAAAAAAAAAAAAAAAAGTCGCAACAACAACATTGTCTTTTGGTTGATGTCCATATCGAGCCATACGTCATAAAACTTTAGGAGAATTGATATTGACGATATGTATTCAGCTAGTCAACACCTCTAAGAAAATGCGACCAGTGTTAATGACAAGCATATAGGTCATAAAAATGTTTAACAGTGGCTAGTCTACACTGCGAAGGCTATTTTATTCATTTTCTACTGGTTAATTGAGACGCTGCTGCAAGACACCAAGAAGAGAACTGAACCTGTCATGGAAAAGCTATCACAAAAGGCTAGTGAGTTTAACCAGAGTCAACGACGGCTACGACAACATGTCGAACAAGCGTTCCTCTCATACACAAATCTGCTTAATTGTCTTGCCCAGCATCTCCAACACCGTCGTAAAAAAACATTATGCATGTACCTGCCACCTTCAACGCAGCAGTACCTGGCCCAGAGTTAATACCTTTTGTATACGGTCCCAAACGACCTTTGATAACAAAAACCTGAAAATATACTTGAAGTACTAGATTCCGAGTTGCTCAAAAGTCGCATATAGAGAATGTGTTAACTAAGCTCAACAGCGGCTTCTACGATGGATGCCTTGGTTCGAGAAACTCATTTACGACCTCATCAGCATGTAGATCGAATAGTTTATATATAAAAGAACTTCAAATCTGGACTGTCACTATTGTAGCAAATAAAATAACATTTCCGCGTTACTCATTGCCAAAACACCCTTTATAACATGGAGAAATGGTGCGCGGCTGCTCACTGTGGGCTTCCTAGTGGTTTTTCAGTCCATATTATTCATTAAAGCGCCAGATGGGAGTTGGGCCATGACTCTGCTACTGTTGCTGTTCAGCGCTGGTAAAGAGTTCGTAGCAACTATTAACAGGATATCAAACCTTTGTGAGCAAGTGCTTGCTGTCTTTGTTTTTTCTGTTGGTTGAGTACGCATGGTGTTTAAACAATGGCTTGAGAAATTGAGTTGAGCGCAAAGCTACGACAGCTGGACAATGACACTTAGAAGTTCAGAGCAACAAAAGCTGGTCTAAAAATGCCTATGATACTCAGTTTGCGATACTTAGCTTCCGATATTCAGTTGATTTATACTACAACAGACTGGATCCAAGAATTCCCGAGCACATACGGTTTAATCCATTATGGTGAACATTTGACAGCACCCAGAAGCAGCCATTGGACGTGCACTGTTGGTGAAGTCCCAACAGCAATGAGAATGTGACAGCTGCATGAGCTCTGAATGTTCTGCAAATTTTTCATCTAGACTAACACTGATACATCTAGTCAAATAGAGCTTTCACCGAGCATAGCGTTGTTATGATTGTTTTATTTTTTATTTTTTCATAT